TACCCCCCAAGTAACCAGTCCTCATCAACAGTACACCCAAATGACCAGTCCTCATCAACAAAAGCCCCACAAATAATCAATCCTCATCAACAATACCCACTAATGACTAGTCGTCATCAATAAAACCTTGTGTTTGTTTGTTGAATTGAGTTTGTCGATTCTTGTAAATACTTGGGTATTTTGGTCGATTTGCATCTCTCTAACAATTTTCAGTCAGGTCATCTGGACAGTTTTTTTTTTTTTTTTTACTGAAATGTTTCACCTTCCATCCGGAAGGCTTCATCAGTCAAGGAAACACACAACACAAAACTGATTCTTCCCCCAAACATCTTACTCCAAAGTGGAACAAACCAGTTATGTTGTTGCTAAGATGGTGTCTTTGGCACGCCCCTCCTTTTGTGCCAGCCCTCTTCTTCGTCGACAGTCATGTCAAACTGGTTCAAAACCAAAAAAGTCCATGCTCAATAATCCAGGGGGGTTATTGTGTTGTGTTGTGAGCCAACACAACCACACAACATCCAGAGTCTTAAGGTACTCTGGGCGAATCTCATCCATCCCTGGGGCCCTGCCACTGAGGAGTTTTTAACCACCTCGGTGACCTCAGCACCAGAGATTGGAGAGCCAGACCCAAAGCCCCAGGCTCCGCTTCCTCAATGGAAAATGTGCCAGTGGGATTGAGGAGGTCTTTGAAGTATTCTGTCCACCGACCCATGACATCTTGAATTGAGGTCAGCAGCACACCACCTCCACTAGTGTTGTTGGCGTACCGCTTTCCCCCCCTGAGAAGCCTGATGGTGGACCAGAATCGCCTCGAAGCTGTACGGAAGTCATTCTCCATGGCCTCTTCGAACTCCTCCCACGCCCGAGTTTATGCCTCAGCAACCACCCGAGCCGCATGCCGCTTGGACTGCCGGTACCCATCAGCTGCTTCCAGGGTCCCACAGGCCAAAAAGGCCCGATAGGACTCCTTCTTCAGCCAGACAGCATCCCTCACTGCCGGTGTCCACCACCAAGTTTGAGGGTTACCGCCATGACAGGCATCGACAACCTTGCGGCCACAGCTCCGATAAGCCACCTCAACAATGGAGGTGCGGAACATAGCCCACTTGGACTCAATGTCCCCTGCCTCACCCAGAACATGCTCAAAGCTCTCCTGGAGGTGGGAGTTAAAGCTCCGTCTCACGGGAGACTCTGCCAGATATTTCCAGCAGACCCTCACAATACGTTTGAGTCTGCCAGGTCTGACCGGCATCCACCCCACCATCGGAGCCAATTCACCACCAGGTAGTGGTCAGTGGACAGCACTTCCCCTCTCTTCACCCGAGTGTTCAAGACATGCAGCTGCAAATCAGATGAGACAACAACAAAGTCGATCATCGAACTGTGGCCTAGGGTGTCCTGGTGCCAAGAGCACATATGGACACCCTTATGCCTGAACATGGTGTTTGTTATGGACAATCCATGATGAGCACAGAAGTCCAATAACAGAACACCACTCGGGTTCAGATCAGGGGGGCCGTTCCTCCCAACCACACCCCTCCAGGTCTCGCTGTCATTGCCCACGTGAGTGTTGAAGTCCCCCAGTAGAACAAGGGAGTCCCCAGGAGGCGCACTCTCCAGTACCCCCTCCAAGGACTCCAAAAAGGGTAAGTAATCTGAGCTGCTGTTTGGTGCATAAGCACAAACAAGTCAGAACCCGTCCCCCCCACACGTAGGCGGAGGGAGGCTACCCTCTCGTTCACCGGGGTGAACCCCAACGTACAGGCACCAAGATGGGGGGCAACAAGTATGCCCACTCCTGCTCGGCGCCTCTCACCAGGGGCAACTCCAGAGTGGAAGAGTGTCCAACCCCTCTCAAGGAAACTGGTTCCAGAGCCAGAGCCATGCGTCAAGGTGAGCCCGACTATTTCTAGCCAGAACTTCTCAACCTCACACACCAGCTCAGGCTCCTTCCCCACCAGAGAGGTGACATTCCATGTCCCAATAGCCAGCTTCTGTAGCCGAGGATCAGACCGCCAAGGTCCCTGCCCTTGGCCACAACCCATCCCACATTGCACCCAATCCCTTTGGCCCCTACCACAGGTGGTTAGCCCATGGGAAGGGGGACCCACGTCTCTTCTTCAGGCTGTGCCTGGCAGGGCTCCATGGGCAAAAGCCAGCCACCAAGTGCTCGTCAATGTACCCCACCTCTAGGCCCGGCTCCAGAATGGGGCCCCTGTGACATACGTCTGGGCGAGGGAACATAATTTCCATTAATTTCAATCATCATAGAGGTCTCTGGTCATTAATGGAAACATTGTTTCCATTCATTTTAATCATCATAATGGGTCTTTGGTCAAAGCAGACATGTTCCTGTTTTTAGTATTATACACTGTTTTATAATGTAGATTTTTTTTTTGTTTCATTTATTTTCCTATTTACTTTTCATTTTATATGCTTTTTATATGATTGTCTGTACCTCATCTGTGTTCTTTGTTTAAACAGGTCTCTCTTTTAAATGAGTCCGCGAGGCTCAATGAGACCAAACTGTATAAATAAAGGTTGAATTAATAAAACCTCATGACTAGTAATTATGATCAAACACCTCATTAACAAGTCATTATTGTCAACATTTCCCAATAATACATTTTATTGTCAGTTCCCATCTAATGAGAAGTTGTCATTCTGAATAACTCCAAAAAACCAGTCCTTGTCATCAGTAAGCCTCAATGAACAGTGTTCATCACTGTCACCATGCCCCTAATCAGATGTCCAACTCACTAGCTATGTTTACATGCGCAGAATTCTTTGACCGGATTGAAATGTGTTCTGTTTGAATAATTCAAATGTATTGTTTACATGGGCACAATCTGTTCATGATGAGCGTTTACATGCAGCGGGCTTTGTTCTGAACAGCAGTACTGACATGCGCAGAGTGGTAAACTCTCCTTAAAAAAAACACAGAAGAAGAAGTTCTACTTCCGGGTAAATGTAAACAAACCTGAGCACCCAAAATGGACCCGCGACAGGTTTTAATGATGGTGGAGACGTTATTGCACTCCCTGACTGAGCTACAGGTAATAGAAATCATTTTGAGCACTTTCAAAGTTTCTAGTAGAAATGTTGTGTCGCTCACCGACCAGTTTTACTTCCCTGACATGCTAATATTATTAGCGTTAGCCAGGCGGAAATGGCAAAGTCGCACATGCGCAGTCAGGTCAGTTTTTCACCATCAGATAAAAACGAACAGATCAAGCGTTTACATGCGCACCGATCAGGTTTCGGATCGGCGTAAACCACCCGTTTCGTTCTGATCAGAAATTATAACGGATCGCGCCGAATACACAAAAAATAACCCGAACGGAGTGTTTACATGACACACTTTTATTCCGACCGGCCATTTGATCCAGTTACTTATGTCCATGTAAACATACCCACTGATACCACAGTGGTTCCTGAATATCTGATGTCATCTAAACAGGATACGGTAACTTAAAGTCAGCAACCAATCAGGAGAGAAGCTCAGCAGCAAGTCAGCACTTTTAACTGACCTTTGCACCGAATGTCAAAAATATCTAGGTAGAAAATACATGTCAGTAAAATAAGTGGAGGCGCATGGATGTGTTAAAAAAACCATCCTGTTACATATATGATTTACCATATATTACAGAATCCAACCAAAATAATCACTAGGAGAACAAATTAACTCAGAGAACTGATTCACCAGAACTGTGTCACTAGGAGAACTGTGTCACTAGGGGAACTCAGTCACCAGGAGAACTGATTCACCTGGAGAACTGATTCACCAGGATAACAAATTAACTCAAATGATTCACCAGGAGAACTGAGTTACAAAGAGAACTGAATCATCCGAAGAACTGATTCACCAGGAGAACTGACTCACCTGAAGAATAACTATTGATTCAGCAGGAAAACTGAGTCACAAGGATAACTGCTTCACCTGGTAAACTGATTCTCCTATGAGAACAACTTAACTCAGAGAACTGATTTACCAGGAGAACTGATTCACTTGGAGAACTGATTCCCCAGGAGAACAGAGTCACCTCCAGAGTGAAAAACTGAGCAGAGCTGAAACACCAGAAGAACTTCAAGGTTCGATCCACTGTGTGGGAATAAAAACATGATCTTTAAAGTTTGTATCGAAGTCAGTCACAGGAACTCCATCCAACACATCTTGACTCCAGAAACAACAAGCAGAGAGGAAAGGTTTAGCTGCTTTCAGAGTTAAAACCTGAACTTCAGCTTCATTTGAGATGTTGCAAAAAAAAAAAAAAAAAAATAAAATGAGAAAAAATTTTAAAATGTTTGAAGTTGAACTGAAAGTTTAAGAATTTTTTTAAGAAAGCTGCAGATTCTCAGCTGCAAGTTCCCTTTAGCCAGAACCAGAACATGACCCGGTCCGGTTACAAACCAGTCAGACCGGTTCTGACACACACAAGCAGAACTAGGTGTCGGGTTACCGGGTCGGTTCTCTTTTTGTCCTGCAGGCATCGCTGCAGCGCTGCCACCCTCTCCGTTTCCTGTGCGACCCTGGACACTTCCTGTCGATCCAAAACCGAGCCATGAAACAGAATCTTCTAAAACCAACAAAGACTTTTCTTCTTAAGGTCGGATCACAAGTTTAATAAAGATTATTGTTGTTGTTGTTATGTTAACAAGAAACAGTTCCTAATGTAACGATGGCTAAAATAAAGTTTAAAATACATAAATAAATAAAAAACAACCATAATAAAACGTTTTGTTTTCTGATATAAAACATTGTGAATAAATAAAACGTGTCATGTTCGCAGCCCCTGAGGTCAAAGGTCGGCTGTTTCTGCTCTGAGGAGAAAAAGAGGAAACAGCTTTTTCCGTTTCCGGTCTGCGCTGCAGGAAACGGGTCGCTGCACGATGCTTTTATTTTGTAGGAAGACCAGCAGCCTCTGAAATCTGACTGGACTAAATAAATAAATAAAAAAAACCTCAGAACTCTTTTGACACGTTTTCAGAACTGGAAATAAAATAAGACATCTAAAGGATAAAATTTATTTTAAATAAAACAATGACCTTCAGGTTTAAGGTCAAACCAGGCTGGACTGGGGAAATCTGGGTCAGAATCACAAACAGGACTGTTGCTTTCAAAGACTTCAGTTACTGCCAGGGTGCGTTCAAGGACAACACCAATAGAAATGCCTTCAGGTTCTGGTTCTGAACCAATGACACCAACTGGTTCAGACTGATGAACAGCAACGGATCCATTTCTTCTCTTCAACCAGTACAGGACGCGACAAATCTCAAAGTTATTCACATTTAAACAATTTTTGTAAAAATTTCCACCACATTTGGACCTTTTCCAGAAATGGCATTTAGTTTCAGAACCTTTCAAATGTTCTGAGCAGATTCTAAGGTTCTGTTGGCTGGGGTTTCTGAGAGAACATACCTGTTTTGTGGACAGAGCTGCATCTGAGGTGGGCGGAGCTGGGTGTGTGGTGGGTGGAGCTACAGAAGCTGGAGCAGTAGGTGCAGGTTCAGATGCTGCTGCCGGACTCTGAAGGTGACCGTGAAGAGCCTCCAGGTCCAGATTCAGGTCCTGGATGGACTCGTAGATGTGGTGTGAGTCTTCCTCCTTTCGTGACTCCTCCTCCTCGCTGCTCTCCGTGCTCGTCTCTTCTTCTGCCACCTCCTCCTCCTCCTCTGGCTCCTGCTGGTTTCCTAGGCAACCCTCAGATGGGGAGGACTTGTTCTGGGGTGGAACCACCGGGGTCTCCACTGGGATAGGCTGGTTCTGGAGCCGGGTTTTGACCAGAGGGTCTGCAGGGCTGAAACTGGGAACTCGAGGTTTACCAGAATCCTTCTGGTCCTCCAGGAGACCCGACGGGTGAGGTTGCTTTTTACCATCCGCTGTTTTTGTAGTCCCACTGGGAGCTGTGGCCCCAGTCTCAACTGAACCAGCAGGAGGGTTACTCGGAACCCTGGGTGATAACCCTATGTGGGTCAGGTCCGGCAAGTCCATTGGTACGCCGAAGGTGGACATGCGGTTGTCGTTCTTCTGGTGCCGGTTGGAGGCGTTGGGTCTGAGGCGGATCAACATCTCATCGCTTTGTTTGGTTTTGGTCCCGCTAGGCTCCTCCAGAGGCTTTGGGACTGGAACGGGAACTGGGACAGGAGCCACCACAGGATGCAGCACCGGTTCTGGACTGGGTGGGTCAGCAAAGTCCAGCGGGGATGGGAAATCGACCGGCAGCTCCTTGACATACTTGGCTGGGATGTAGAAGGCTCTGGAGCAGCTGTCTTCTCGGACCTGCCACCAGTGGTCGTTGGTCTTGGCCAGCAGGATGTAACGCTCGTTGGGTTTGATGGACACCAGAACCCCGTCCTGACCCTTGTACTCGTACTTGAACTCCACCAGGACCAGACCCAGACCTGAAAGACAAGATGCTTGTTGCAGAGCAGGTCAGGGTTTTATTTTTGTTCTGACAACATTCAGGTGGATCAGAACCACTTGCTGCTACAGAACCCTTTAGGTTCTGTGACAAGTGACTAAATCCACCCAAAGAAACCCAGTCTGCTCAGTCAGAACCTCTGAGGTCCAGCTGGGTCCATAACTCAAACACCATCTCTCACCTCTGCCCAGCAGGGAGGAAGTCGCTGCCATTTTAATGACCTGTGCTCCTCAGGCCCCGCCCCCTCAGGTAGATGACTCTGAAGGTGAGGGGTCAAGAGTCAGCCCACCTGAAAAAGAAAAAAACTTGAGATCAACAAAAACAAACAAACGATGCAGTTAAAGTAAAATCGAGTCAGCCCACATCTTTATACCTTAAAACATCTGGATACCCAGATGTATAACAAAAGATACCCAAACTACTTCCCTGGATATAATTTTATTATATAAATAATATTAGATCAAATATTAAGCTCCATTTAATGGCTCCAGAACCAAAAAGTTTTATTTGATGTCAAAAAATTTAATTATTTAAAATAAGGTATTTATTTCAACAATTTTTCACAAATATGTTGTAAGAACTTTTTCTTTGAGCTGCCACTGTTCGATCATTAGGCCCCACCCCCAAACGATGTAAACGTTTAAAAACAGAGCAGACTTCTTGGAACCAGCAGTTTGCCTCCAGTGTCCGTCATCGCTCCATCACACCGTTGAGCCGAGGCGCCGGTGCACACCGACTGTCGGTTCCACAGCTGGATATTCAAAGGTGTCACAGGCTTTAACCTTAACCCCCTCATTCAGACCTCAGAACCTGAACCGGGTCACGCTGACTGATCGGATCATTGGTGTTCTGTCCTCTCTGCTATGAAGATGTTAACGCAATTGTTCCTCTACAAAGACGGGAAACACACACCAGTGTGTGATGTCATCGAGGGGTGGAGCATACACATAAATGTGGGTGGGGCTTACAGTTCATAGGAAGAGCAGGATTTCCCTCCATAAACAGAGCTGACCTGAGATCAGCCTCCTGCCATTGTTCTGTGGGACAGAGTGCCTGGCTCAGAGGCTGCCGGGCAGGAAGACTGTGTGTGTGTGTGAAGCCTCAACGTTGAGCACTTCCTCTGCTCCATCCACAGGTCTGAACTGGGACAGAGAGCTTGCAGGACTGGACTCAGATCCAATCCAAGGAGTCAGAAAGGAAACTGTCCCAACACTCAAATGTAGGAAAATATTTCAACTGATCACATCAGCTGCTGAAATTTATTCTGTCACATTTAACAGAAAATATTTATTTAAATAATTCTAACAGAGCTGTCTGCTTTAGGAAAATTAGTTTCAGATCTGAGACCAGTTCCAGGTCCACATGTTGCATTAGGAGGTCACTGAAGTGGTTCTTACACAACAAACCCAACAGGTACCTCATAAGCTTACCATAAAATTTATTTAACTTATAATGATTTTAAAACATTTAAGCTCTATGTTAGATATGTCCATGTATACTTTATGTCTTATCTGTAAAAAAAAAAAAAAAAACAACAACCAGGAGTTCAAAGGAAACAGAACAATAATGCTTCTATAATAATAATAATAATAATAATGTCTTCTACCTGTCAATCATACATACAAACATAGAAAAATTAGAAATTTTTTGAAAATATGATGCCAAACAAGCATGGTGGTGCAACTGGTAGAGCTGCTGCCTCTCAGCAAGCAGGTCCCTGGTTCAAATCCCAGTCTGGAGGCCTTTCTGGGTGGAGTTTGCATGTTCTCTCCATGCACGCGTGGGTTTTCTCCAGGCACTCTGGTTTCCTCCCACTCCCACAGACCAAAAACATGCATGTTAGGCTGATTGGTAACTCTAAATTGTCTCTAGGTGTGAGTGAGAGAGTGAATGGTTGTTTGGCTCGTTTGTCTCTATGTGGCCCTGTGATGGACTTGCGACCCGTCCAGGGTGTACCCCGCCCCTCGCACAGTGATTGCTGGACATGCAGCCATGTTCTGTGTAGCGTGTTGAAATCTGACAGTACAAAGACGTGTTCTGTGCAACGTGTTATGTGTGGTGTGTTCTGTGCAGCATGTTTTGTGTGGCGTGTTGAGATCCGATGGCACGCAGACGTGTTCTGACATGACACAGTTGAACTCATGTCTGTCATTCCTGCTGGTTTCTGAGGTGCAGCTGACATTGGAGGGAAACCCTGAAAACCAAAACAGTTGAAGTTTTCAGATTTACGCACTCTGTGAGCAAAACACAAGCACAGCTACGACATCAGCTAAAGTCTGTGTGGTAGTAGCTGAGTCATCCACAACACTCCAGATCACACCATCTTTGTTTGAACTTTGTTGTGGCGGGTCAGTTCCAGGATGGAATGCTCATTTCACTCCATCATCCATCCACGTTTGTTTAACAAACAAACCAAACGTTGGGTCAGAACCACCTGAGCCAGGTGAGTTTCAGGTGTCAGAGACTTGTGTTGGAATGCAGCGTCTCTCCCCACGTCCCTCTCTCTCTCACTGTTTGTCTGTGAGACTAAGCCACTCCCACCCAAAGGCTGGTATGTCACACACACACACACACACACACACACACACACACATACAGTGCAACCACAAACTAAACGGAGCAGTCAATCATCAAAGAGGTCAAATGTTTGTGGTGGCAGCGTCGACCAATCAGATCAGAGCAAACATTTAAAGTCAAAGTTCTACCAAAGCTCCACCACGTGACATCACGAGGCCAGCAGCCAATCACAGCAGAGCACCCCTGCAGGCAGCTCGACCTTTACCCTGCAGCTGAGTGTGGGTGTGGTCACGTTCAGAAATAACTGAGTTCAGGTTGTAAATCAGTCAGCTGAGGCTGCCGGCAGAACAAACTAATGTTTACAGGAATGCAGAGAAACTCTCAGCTCTCAGACGGGGCGAACGTGGAGATTAAACTGGAAATAATAAAAAGTCGTGCATAAAGAGTTTAGAGTGTGTGACATCATCACACAAAGATAAACTTGTTGTTAAAAAAAAAAGTCCAACAACAGACTACACAGATAAAAGATAAACTGTAAAAACTTTATAATTGACTCAAAAACACACTCTGGTCTGACAACAGGGCCTCACAGTTTCCTGCAAATGGACCTGTAGAACCGGTTCTGGTACCTTCACAGTTTCCTCTTGTCCTTTAACCTCCTAGGACCTGGCATTCACATATGTGGACAACCTGGCATCCACATATGCATGTCATGCAAGACTTTGGGTCTTAGGAGGTTAAAGAGTTCTAACGTGTCGTAAAACATCTCAAACTTTTTGAAAACCACCCGTAAAGAGGGTGTGGATCGTGACCAGGGACCAGTACTACATCCCCAAGAACGTCAGTCCCTCACTGAGACCCGTGAACCTCAGAAATGTCTCGAGCCACATGAAGACCTGCTCAAAACATCAGAAGATCCTCAGAAACCTGATCCTGAAGACCATCCCTGCTCAGCTGCTCCATCATTAAAGTTCCTCCTGAAGGATCTCTACAACTTTTTTAGATCTGCTGAATCAAACCTCCTAAACATCCACTCACTAAAAGACCTTGATGATCCTGATCCATCATGTGTCCTGTAAATCCACAGGAACCTCTGAACCAGGACTATCAACTAAACTGCTCAGGGGCCGGACATCCAGCAGTTATTGTCATTAAGTAAGAGTGGTTTATGGTTTAAAATCTAGATTTATTTAAAAATGAACCCACTGGTGGGCCGAACTGAGCTCACCAGTGGGCCTGATTTGGCCCCCGGGCCACCTGTTGAATAGCCCTGCTCTAAACCCTCAGGAGGATCAGCAGAACTTAACCTCCTGTCAGCTGGCAAATACCCAAAAGAGCTTTAAGAATTGACCAAATACCTTGAAAAATGGTTTCAAACACCATTAGAATGACTTGAAAGAGCACAACCATCCTCTACGGAGCACCAAAAACCTGATCCAGGACTTCTCAGACCTGTTAAAACCAGCATTACGATCCACTCTGGGTCCAGGAACCTCCTGAAGAACTTGTGCTCAGTATCTAAATTTAGAAGGCTGATTGTTGCTCAAAGTTCAAGGCTCGTAAAACTGTCGGTTACCATGACAACGGTGGTTAACTGACGTGGAACCGACTCCCGATCCATCTGCTCTTGTTAAACCAGGTTTCTGTTTCAAGGAGCCAACCCTGGTCAACCCAGGCAGCAGATACAGGTTCAGACTTCATGAAGACCTGATGGATCCCATCTGATGGATCCCCTCTGATGGATCTCATCAAGATCTGGATGGTCGTGGACTTCAAACGAAACATAGGAGGATCTGTGGTGGAAGTAGTCTCCAGCTACAGGTACTTGGGTTTGCCCCTGTATGACAAGAGGAGCATTAAGTGTAGAACCACTAGACTGAGGAACAGCTTCTACCCTGAGGCTGTTAGACTCATGAATCTCTAACCAGGATAATCAATGGGGAGAAAAAAATCAGTGTGATGTCACTTTGATTGTTGATATATGCTGCTGATTGTCCATGCTGCTGATCTCATGCTGCTGATCTGTTTTATGCTGCTGTTCATTCGTACTCATCTGCTCACACAGACTCATGTTCGTGCTGCTGTTGTTCGGCGTATTGTTTTTGTATTACTAGTGTTTAGTGTATTCTTAGGAACAGGAAGCAGACCTTACAAAATAAAAGAGAATTCTGGATTCAGCAGGACTGGGTTCAGGGATGTCCGCTGATTTTAAAACCCGGGAGACATCAGGGCTATCCTGACCCCGAATCTGACCCTCCAACCACCACTGATCATGTAACTCTATCTGGTCCACTCAAATCCCTGACCCGAACCTTAAAACTAAACCCACTTCTTTAGAGTTAAAGCCAACTGGTTCAGGGACAGTCCGGATCTGCTGAGCCCCATCCTGGTTCAGGGACAGTCCGGACCTGCCGAACCCCGTCCTGGTTCAGGGACAGTCCGGACCTGCCGA